AGGGAGATCATATGATAGTTGTCTTTCTCCGATTGACTTATTTCACTAAGCATGATACCCTCTAGTTCCATCCACGTCGTCGCAAATGGCAAGATTTCATTTCTTTTGATGGCTGCATAGTATTCCATTGTGTATATATACCACATCTTCTTTATCCATTCGTCTGTTGACCTTCCATTTTTTTTAAAGATTTTTTTTTTTATTTATTTGAGAGAGAAAAGAGAGGAAGGGGCAGAGGGAGAGAGAGTCTGAAGCAGACTCCCCACTCAGCACAGAGCCCAGCACGGGGCTCAATCCCGTGACCCTGAAATCACAACCTGAGCTGAGACCAAGAGTCGGTTGCTTAACCCACTGAGCCACCCAGGTGCCCCTCCCTCACTTACGTTTTCGTTATCTCTCTTCCTCTCACCGGACAGTAAGCTCCATGAAGAGAGTCTGTCTCCCTGGTTCATAACCGTACCCCAAGCTCCTAGCTAAGTACCCAGTATAGTAGGCATATAGTAAGACCTTGATAAATACTACCCTGTCCCTGAAGTCACAGGACATTGGTCTTTGGTGACTACGGGGGGTGATGGAGGGAATAGCAAAGAAGAAGGAAAAACTAAAGGTGAGTCAAGATTCCAATTCTGAGTTTCCAGTTCCGAATTCCCAGAAGAGCATGGTGACCATTCCTAGAAATGGGGATCCAGGAGCAGGAGGCTGCTGGAGAGGGCTGAGCAGATCAACGCAGGACTAGGCACACTGAGTCTGAGCTCCAAGGGCCACACGAGGCCGGGATGTGTGGCATGCTGCGAGAAAGCAGCTTCCAGGGACTGCTTAAGCTGCCAAGTGCTATAGAGGGAGAGAATAGGGTCCAGGTGCTAAACCACGGTGAAGGTCCATTTCCAGAGTAGCAGGTAGGGAGCACGGGGCAGACCCAGAAGGAAAGCTGTCAGAGGTATTATAATGCAGAAGGCAACACAGAGGCACTCAGTAGACATGAGTCACTCACAAACGAACAAATTAAAGACCCTCCTACTTTTACTCATACTGTTCCCTCTGCCCAGCATGCCTCTCGTCCCAGTTATGTACCTGTCATCTCTAGAAGCTTTCCCTGATCCTTCAAATCTGGGTGAGGTCCTAGTTCTGTGTGTCCCGGTAACACCTATGCTTTACAATGTGCGTTGGCCACAGGGAAGGCTCTTCCCCCCATGTATTCTTTCTATCCCTCTAGACTGTGAGCTACTTGAGGGCAGGGACTGTATTTTTTGTTTTTTGTTTTTTTTAAATTCTGTATCTTCCTTTCCAGTGATATGCTGGTGCTCAATACAGGTTTGTTGGATGGACAGATGTTTGGATGGACGGATGGATGAATGGATGGACGGATGGATGAATGGATGGACGGATGGATGAATGGATGGACGGATGGATGAATGGATGATGGATGATGAGTGGATCAATGGATGGAGAGACAGATGGGTGCGTGGGTGAGTGTGTGAATAGACAGACGGATGGACAGATAAAGAGGGAGGTGGATGGAACAACTCAAAACTCTCACCTTGGGACCAAGCTCTTCAGATGATTACACAGAGACTGGATATACCAGCTGCCGTTCTCCACATGCCGAACGGCTAGGTAGCCAGGGACAGTGGCCATGCCGAGAAGAAAATCCGCCTCATCGGGAATACTCCTCTGAAGGGAAGGGGCCACAGGCTCAGGATTTACAGCATCTGCTTCAATGAATACAGGAGGCTGCATCTTCTTCCCCTGGCAAGCCTGGATGAAAAAGAGTTTGGGCTTATGAGCCAGACCAGGACATTTCTGGGCTGTGAAGTGAGACGTGATCTCCTGAATGGGAACGAGGATCTCATCCGAAGAGTAGACAGCTCCGTACTTCCCATGGCTCAGAACACAGAACACGAAGCAGTCTCCGTCAGCATGGTCTGGATGACACTCGTATTCCCACAGAACCTCATCCAGACGTCCTTTGGTCACGTTGTCATATACACATACGCTGAACCCAAGCCACTCAAACACATGCTTCAAGTGCTCTGTAAAAAAAGAGGAGAGAAAGAGGAAATGATAAAATGAAATGAAATCGAGTGGAATGAAATAAAACGAAGGGACGAAACAATGCGGGTAGTTTTATAAAATTGCACAGCAAAGAGCCTGAAGCTTGGAGTTTTTTGTTTTCATAACAGTAAAATTTTACAGCTTACCACCTGCCTCTTTATAGTACCCACGGGGCTACTGCAATGGTCCCGAAAGTAAGCAGAAGCACAGGTTTCACCCTATGTCCCAGATAAGGAAGCCAAGGCCCGGGACTTTCCCACAGTCACCAATGGGTTCGTGGAGGAGCCAGGGCTCAAACAGGTTTTCTCCAGCAGACGCACCATGCTTTCCCCCCAGCCATGGAGTCCTACATGGTCAGGGACTCTTGTCTGTCTTTCAGCAGGTTGGTGACACCCCTGCTATGGTCCAGATGTTTGTAGCCCATGAAAAGATGCTCAACATCGCTCAGCATCAGGGAAATAGAAATTGAAACCACACTGAGATACAATCTCGCACCTGTCAAAATGGCTAAAACACAAGAAAAAGACGTGCTGGCAAGGATGCGGAGAACGGGGAGCCCTCCTACCCTGTTGGTGAGGGTGCAAACTGGGGCAGCCACTCTGCAGAACAGCACAGAGGTCCCTCAAAATGTTAGAAATAGAACTACTCTGGGTCGCCTGGGGGGTCTCAGTCAGTTAAGCATCTGCCTTCAGCTCAGGTCTTGATCCCAGGGTCCTGGAATCAGAGTCCCACATTGGATTCTCTGCTCAGCAGAGAGTCTGCTTCTCTCTCTACCCCTCCCCCTGCTCCTACTCTCTCCTGCGCTCTCGCTCTCTCAAATAAATAAATAAATAAGGACCACCCTATGATCCAGCAACTGCACTACTGGGTATTTACCCAAAGCAGACAAAAATACAGATTCAAAGAGATACATGTACCCCAATGTTCATAGCAGCGTTATCAACTATAGCCAAACTATAGAGAGAATCCCAATGTCCATCAACTGAAGAATGGATAACAAAGTTGTGGTGTGTGTGTGTGTGTGTGTGTGTGTGTGTGTGCGCGCGCGCGCACGTGCACACGCACATATATACACGCAATGGAATATTACTCAGCCATCAAAAAGAATGAGATCTTGCCATTTGCAACAACACAGATGGAGCTAGAGGGTATGATGCTAAGTGAAGACAGTCAGAGAAAGATAAATGCCATATGATCTCACTCATAGGTGGAATTTAAGAAAGAAAACAAATGAACGTAAGGGAAGGGAGAAAAGAAAAAAAGGAGAGAGGGAAACAAGCCATAAGAGACTCTTAACACTAGAGAATAAACTGAGGGTAGGCAGAAGGAGGTGGGCGGGGGATGGGTAGATGGGAGATGGGAGGGCATTTGTTATGATGAGCACTGGGTGGGGTTTTTTGGTTTTGTTTTTAAAGATTTTATTCATTTATTTATTTGAGTGAGAGAACATGAGAGGGGAGAGGCTCAGAGGGAGAAGCAGACTCCCTGCTGAGCTGGGAGCCTGATTCGGGACTCGGTCCTGGGACCCCGAGATCACGACCTGAGCCGAAGGCAGTTGCTTAACCAACTGAGCCACTCAGGTGCCCCTGAGCACCAGGTGTTGTATGTAAGTGATGAACCACTAAATTCTATTCCAGAAACCAATACTGCACTGTATGTTAATTACCTAAGATTTAAATTACAAAAAGTTTGTGTCCCCCCCAAAATTCATAGGTTCAAATCCCAACCGCCAACGTTAGGGGATGAGGAAGCGGGGCCTTTGGGAGGTGATGAGGTTGTGAAGGTAGAGCCCACAGGGAGACTCCAGAAAGCTCTCTCACCCCTTCTTGCCAAGTGAGGTTGCAGCACAAAGACTGCCATCTAGGAAGCAGGCTCTCACCGGGCATCAAAATGTCAGAGCCTTGATCTTGGACTTCCCAGCCTCCAGAACTGTTAGAAATAAATGTTCGTTGTTTATAAGCCATCTCATTTATGGTATTTCGTTAGTGCAGCCCAGGTGAACTATGGCACCAGGGACATACAAGAGGCCAGAGACATTTACAATATTTATAATATCATCCTTACATTTAAATGGAAGATTAAAAGTACAGAATGAAAACGTGAAAATAAAAAAGTGATTGTAAGATCCCCAACTTGCATTTGATATACTATTCCAGATGTTCTTACCAGCATCTTTATCAGTCCCTGGTCTGTCGTCCATTGAGGTAAACGTGTAGTTATTGACAACCACACAGTGGCCTCTGTGTTTCCGATTCATCCTGTACACACCTGCCTCCTTGAAAGAAGAAGAGACAGAACCGCTTATTAGGAAATCCGCATTTTAAGGGTTCCTTGTTTCTAACCAACCACGCCAACTATCAGTACCAAAGGCTGAGCACTCTCCAGGGTTCTGATCCTGGCCTGGAATTAATCACGTAAGTCTAAGGTAGAATGCCAGGTACTGATTAAAATTCAGACTTCATTTGGTTTGACTCCAGACTGTCAACTAGCAGCGTCAAATAACAGAATATGTGTTTTAACTTTGGCAAATCAAGAGCTTGTGCAAAACATCTTCCTTTCCGGATCAGCCAAGTGAAGAACGATAAGTAAGGATCTAAGGAGATAACAAATCTATCAGATGCTTATCGCTTGTCCGCTGGTAAGATCCTGGAGTATTCTGACTCCTCTGAAAAGGGAGAGATCACAGTGAGAAGCTGGAAATACATGCATTATGTTCGAAGGCCGTCTGGTTAACAGCCTGTGACGACAAATAAGCCGAGCGGGCTTCGGTGGGGGGGGGGCTCTGTGTGGCTAACATGATCTCCTAAAAACATGGCATGTCTTTGATCGAAGCAGAAAAGAATCCGCTTCAGTCAACAGAAAAGAAAACTCTACCCGGAAATAATTCAAAGGCTCTATGGGGCTGTGATGGTGACAGCACTGCCTCCGCGGCCAAAGGTGAACTCACAGAGAGAGGAAGAACAGTGACAGGAACAGCCCTGAGCCCTCAGAGTCATTAAGGGATGGACCCTCGGGCAGAGACCTGAAGAAACCCTCTAAAACCTCTGTTTCAGAAGGGAGAGCGCTGGCAGATGTTCCCAACATCTCCGTGGAGACCAGGTTGCTCTGTTGCCTGGAAAGGGAAGTTCTCAGACCCTTCAAATATCTGTCCCCAAACATTTAGATTTCCTGACAGAGGATGGGCTGGGAGTCGAGATCCCATGAATCCACTTAAGTGTTTCCAGCCAAAAGTCTGGGTGGGGGACAGCATGGACACCGAGAAGCTGCTCGAACACCAAGAAGTTCAGAAAGAGGGGAGACAAGGGAAGTGCAGAGACCCAGTCTGGACAGGTCGAAAATCAGTCCACAGCCCAGGGATTAAAAGAGTCACATCTTGGGCCCTGGCTAAGCATTGCACTGTTCTGAAGTGTTCCTGCAACCTCCTTGGTTCCTCTAAATAAGAATCCACCCAAGAGATGAGGCCAGTGACGGGCTGTCACATGACACTACAGGAAAATGAAACTTGAAGCTTTTCTTCCCCCACACCCTGCAAGCTTTGAGTAGAATCTAGCAAGCTCTGCCCCATCCTCTGGGGCCAGGGTTAATTATTAACTACAGTTGAGGGTCAGTCCTGGGCGCACAGCTCAGGCTGCATGAATTCCGTTTCCCCGGACCATAGAACACACCAGAAGGGAGCCAACCCGTGGTTGTACAGAGCACCTGTGAACTCCTCCTCACATTAGGAGAAGGTAATGCTCCAGGGATGTCCCAACTTCCAAACCACAGAATTGCAAAACTGAAAGAAACTTTCACTTTTCAGAGAAGGGAAGCCATTGTCTGACCTCCTGGAGCTAGACAGAGGGAGAGCTGGGTCTTCAAAGGGGGAAGCCTTGGAGTCGGACTGCTGGGTTTAGACCCCAGCTTCAGTCCTTTCTAGTTGTACGACCTTTGAGGAAAGTACTAGACCTCTTGAGTCCCCACTTCCTCATCATTAAGCGATAATAACCATGGTACCTATCTCCAGGTGACTGAAGGATTCAATGAGGTAAGCGCTAGAAAGTTCTTAGATCAGGGCTGGCACATGACAAGTTCTCAGTAATGGTAACTCCCATCGAGACTATATCATGCAATCTCCTGCTGAGGCGGAAAGCAGAGATTCCTAGGAAAGCCAAGGGTTTGGACTCTGAAGTTTACATTTCCAGAAAAAAATAAAACAAAATAAAGAATGGCCTCTGATAATCAGTACATCTCACAGAGAGACTACACCAAAAACCTGTTCATAAGCCATTCAGCCCTGTAGCCGATTCTGGAATATCTTCCCTGAGATCACGGTTTTTGGGCAAGGATTCAAGGCACTAAACATAACAAGGACCTCTCTCCCTCTGAAAAACACAAAGCAGCATCTGGAGCCACACGCCAGATGTTTCCACGGAGTCAGCATCCGGCTCTGTCATGCGGGCCTGTGGGTCTCAGCCCTAGTAGGGTTTTCCATCCCTCGTTCCAGAGGGTGAGTTCATTCTGAAGGGCCGGGGGGAGAGCAACTGCCTGCATTCCCCAGATGTTATTGTGCAAGGTCTCAGACCCAGAACCACCCAGCCCCTCCATCCTCCGCAGAAAAGCCTGGTATCCTCTGTGCCTGAATTGACTTAAGAAATGATTCCTCGACTCATTTGTTAACTCTCTCCCAAGTCACCTCACACTGCTTGGTATATGTCGGATGCTTCTACTCCTGCCATTCTGATCCAACTTATGTGAAGTGTATTAGAAACACCTACCACTACTCCTTGAAGGCTGATCTTGCCGGGAACCCTTCTGTTCAGGAAAACAGGAAATGAATGAAACACAGGAAATCCACAGCTAGGACGAAGGCAGAAAAGCCGGACTCGATGCAGAGAAGGAAGGATACTTTATCCCCAGTCCCAGAAAAGGTCAGCAGCAGGTGACAAAAAGAGAGTCGATGCTCTTGCTTTCAAAGGAGGGGGTTCACAAAGACAGTGCCCAAAATACGATGTACGGCACATGCACAAGGATATTTATTCACTGCAGTATTTGGAACAACTAAAGACTAGAGAGAAGCCGAATGTCCAGCAGTAGAAAGTGCAGGAAAGAGCTGTGGTCCATCCGCACAGCGGAGCAGGACGGAGAAGACACTGCACACTTCTCCACAAGATACCGTGACATGAAGGAAGTGAAGTGAGGAATAGTATTTTCATGGGCTAAGGAAGGGGAGACACGGTTGGGTTTTTTTTTTTTTCCAGAAGTAACAGTAAAAGAAATAAAAAAAAAAAAAAAAAAAAAGGCAATCTGGGGGAGAGGAAGGGGGGCAGGAATGGAATGTAGCCTCCTGTGAGTTTAGGCTCCTGACAGTTTTGCCCTAAGTCTTCTGTAACATTCTCAATCTGGCTCAGTGTTAAGCCTCTGCCTTCAGCTCAGGTCGTGATCTCAGGGTCCTGGGATCAAGCCCTGCGTCGGTGTCTCTGCTCAGCGGGGAGCCTGCTTCCTGCCCCTCACCGCCTGCCTCTCTACCTACTCGTAATCTCTCTCTCTGTCAAATAAATAAATAAAATCTTTCCAAAAAATCGACCATTAGATACAAAATGGAAACATCACTGAGGGCCCTCAGCGTTGGTGTGGGATCTTCCCCACTTGCTCCACCCCAAGCCCCTTGCCCTCAGCCTGCAACAGAAACCCCACAGGTGCTCTGGGGAGGGGCCAACGTTGTCACTGGCCGTGTGGTGGGCAGCCCTAGGAGACTGTCTGAGGTGACCGGCAAGTCACCCCCAAGTCTCTCGGGCTGCCTCCCTCCTGGAGCCCTCCGGGCTTCTGGCTCCAAGAGGGGAATTTAGCTTCAAGCCAGACCGGAGAGCTGCACGTCTCCCTCCCAGACTGCACAATACCAGAATCCCCCGACTCTGAGGAACAAAACTGCAAAAAAACTCAGTTTCACTTTCCAAAACACGTCCGGCCATTCTTTCCCGAAGCCGCGTTTTCCTTCCTGCAAAATGCGGGAGTTTCTCTCGGCCACATCCGGGGCCAAACAGGCTGCTTACTGGGCTTGCCCACTTGGTTGCGAAAGCCCTGAATGGATTTTCTGGGATTCGGGGCAACACAGATGCCTCCCCAGGTTCTGCCCCAGGTTTTCTTGATTTGTCTCCTGCCTTGTGCTCACAACATCGGCCAGAACAGGGAACAGGACGAGCTTTAAGGGCTGCCTGGCTAATTTCTCTGACAACGTCGCCCCTTCTGCTGACAGCCCCAAATCTCCGTGTCAGAGAGGAAGGAGTGACCTGTGGCCTGGCCGCATGCACGCTTCTTTCCACTGTTTACAAATAATAAGGGTCCAATAAAGCCTTAAAAGGAAGCTGTTGTTAGGTCTCAACAGAGAGATGTGCCTCCCCAAGAAGATCCTATGCCACACCCAAAAATAGTGATTTGGTTTTTTAATGTTCAAGTCATTAATTAGGGGATGTTATTGAAATACACTGATTTGGTTTTTAATGTTAAATTCATTGATTAGGGGATGTGATGCCCTCATTAAATGCAATGGTTGGCAGTGCTCTTTTACATAAGAAAACCGGCCAGGTGCAAATGAAACTTGGTCTGATTCACCAAGTTCCATTTTATCCAGGGGCAGGATTGCCTAGATATTTTTTAAGACACCTTTCAATCCCGAGAGTCAAGGAAAAGGTATGTAATGTGAGGTGCTGCCTCTCCCAGCACCTCCAACACTCCCAGCTCCACGTCGGCTAGCCCCCTTCATCATGCCAACGCCAGATTCCAAGGTCAGCAAAACAGCTACATTTCAGATACCAAGGTTGAGCCAAACCCTTACAAACGACTGAATCTCTAAGGCAAACAGCAAAGTCCTGCGCGTGCGTGTGTATGTGTGTTTTCTACACTCACAAAAGTATCTGAGCATACACAAAACTAGTTGAAAAAGTAGGTGCGAAGAAGGATTAAATTTAGTGAGCAGAATAAAAACTTCTGGGGGAGAAAGGAGGGCTCTTATAAACGTGGAGAAAATACTGGAATTTGAAAATCATTGCTTTGCAACCAGCAAGGTAAATATTGACTCACACCAGAATCACCAATGGATACTCAATCTAGCAGAATTTTTTTTTTTTAAAAGATTTTATTTATTCCACAGAGATCACAAGAAGGCAGAAAGGCAGGCAGGGGTGGGCCAGTAGGCTCCCCACTGAGCAGAGAGCCTGATGCGGGGCTCGATCCCAGGACCCTGAGATCATGACCCCAGCTGAAGGCAGAGGCTTAACCCACTGAGCCACCCAGGTGCCCCATTCTAGCAGAAATTCCTAATGCTGAGGGGGGATATTTGTATGGTCTCAAATGTCTCCCCTCCACTTGCTTATTAGTTGCAAGGGAAAATTAGTAGCTATAAAAAACTAACTGTACAGAGAAGAAATCAGACAACTTCTTGATCAAATAATCAAAATTAGCATCACAGATTGGGGGGGAGGCGTAGATGGACACCACTGCCTCCAGATGTGACGTGTGCATCATTTAGGTAATATCCTGGGGAGAATATATAGCTTGAAACGAATCATGGGCAAACCACACACCAAAAATGAGGAAAATTCCATTTTTTTTAAATAAAAGATGGTAGTGGGGGTGACTGTATTCTTCAAAAATGTTAATGTCGGGGCGCCTGGGTGGCTCAGCGGGTTAAGGCCTCTGCCTTCAGCTCAGGTCATGATCTCAAGGTCCTGGGATCGAGCCCCGCATCAGCTCTCTGCTCCGCGGGGAGTCTGCTTCCTCCTCTCTCTGACTGCCTCTCTGCCTACTTGTGATTTCTATCTGTCAAATAAACAAAATTAAAAAAAAAAAGACAAAAATGTTAATGTCATAAAGAAAAATTATAGAAATGTTTAAGATTAAGGGAGACTACAGAGACATGATAATACCATAATGATCCCAGATGAATTACATACTAGAGGGGAAAAAAGCTACAAAGGATATTACTGGATAACAGACAAAATTGGAACATGGCACCTGAACGTGACGAAAGTATTGTGTATTAAGTAAACTTTCCTGGCATCAAGAACTATACTATAGTTTTGTACAAAAATATCCTTATTCTTAGGAAATAACGCCGTAAAGTATTCAGCAGTAAAAAGCCATGATGTGGGCAAGTTACTCAAAAAGTTCAGAAAAAAATTATGTGTTTACATAAATAGATGACAGAGAAAGAGAAAGCGCACAAAGGTTAAGGCACATGGGGTAAAAATCAACAACACGTAGGCGAATCTGGTAAAACTGTATACATAGTGTCCTTAGTCACATTCTTTCAACGTTTCCATAAGATTAAAAATATTTCCAAATTTAAAGGTTAAAAATGGTCAATGTAAAAATATGAAATCATGGAAGACGTAAAGGGGCTATCAAAGAATTTTTTAAAGAATAAAAAAGGGGCGCCTGGGTGGCTCAGTGGGTTAGAGCCTCTGCCTTCAGCTCAGGTCATGATCCCAGGGTCCTGAGATGGAGCCCCGCATCAGGCTCTCTGCTTAGCGGGGAGCCTGCTTCCTCCTCTCTCTCTGCCTGCCTCTCTGCCCACTTGTGATCTCTGTCTGTCAAATAAATAAATAAAATCTTAAAAAAAAAAAAGAATAAAAAAGAAAACTTCCACAAACCACCCAATTAAAAAATTGGCAAAGAGCTTCAACACACATTTCTCCAAGAAAGATAATACAAATGGTCACCAAGCACACGTAAAGCCGTTCAACATCACTAATCATTAAGGAAATGCAAATGAAAACTACCGTGAGACACCATCTCACACCCGCGAGGATGGCTACCATTAAAAAAAGAAGAGAGCAAGTGTTGGCAAGGATGTGGAGAAACTGGAATTCTTATGCATTACTGGCAGAAATGGAAAATAATGCTGCTGCTGTGAGAAACAGTATGGCGGTTCCTCAAAAACTCAAATAGAGGGGTCCCTGGGTGGCTCCATCGTTAGGTGTCTGCCTCCGGCTCAGGTCATGATCCCGGGGTCCTGGGATCCAGCCCCACATCGGGCTCCCTGCTCGGCAGGAAGCCTGCTTCTCCCCCTCCAGCTTCCCCTGCTTGTGTTCCCTCTCTCACCGTCTCTCTCTCTCTCTCTGGCAAATAAACATATAAAATATGTTTAAAAATTTTATTTAAAAATTATTTAAAAATTTTATTTAAAAATTATTTAAAAATTTATTTAAAAAATAAAATAAACAAATAAACATATAAAATCTTTTTTTAAAATGATATAGAGAATTACCATATAATCCAGCAATTCCACTTCTAGGTATGTACACACGAGAACAGAGCACGATCTCGAAGAGATTATGTGCACACCCATGTCCACAGCAGCATTATTCACAAGAGCCAAAAGATGGAAGCAACCCGCGTGTTCACCGAAGGATGAAGGGATGAACAAAACACAGCACAGACACACAATGAAATATGAGTCTGCCTTAAAAAGGAAGAAAATTCTGACATGGATGAACTATAATGAGGACATTATAGGAAGTGAAATATGCCAGTCACAAAAAGACAAATACTGTATGAATTCACTTCTACGAGGTAAACACAGAGTAGCCAAATTTAGAGAGATATAAAGTTGAAGGTTGTTCGCCAGGGGCTGGGGAGGGGGAGGAATGGAAGTTATTGTTTAATAGAGATAGCGGTTCAATTTTGCAAGACAGAGTTCTGGATATTGGTCATACAACAACATAAATGTACTTAACAATATTGAATTGCACATTTAAAAATAATGACGATGGTAAATTTTATGTTGTCTTTTACCACAATTAAAAACAACAAAAAAATTTGAAGGCCAAGATAATTTCCTTGAGGCTAACTGATGTTAGCAAAAGAAAACTGCCCAAAACTGCTGGGAAGAAATGTAAATCCCAGGGAAGACCGTCATATGTGTCTCTCAAGGATCATGATCACGTTGTTAAGAAACAGACTGCAAATCTCGCCTTGTTTCCCCTGTACTCACCCTTCTACTGCTGGGCACTACAGGAACCTGAATCTTGGCCTCTGGAAAGGACAGACTACGTAATTTGTGGAGCCCCGTGCAAGATAAAATGTGAGGCCCCTTATTCAAACGATTAAGAATTTTAAAACCGTGACCACTGATTATTAAAAAAGCATGGGCTGAGCGGGGATCACACAGGCTATAAGTTCAGGACGCTGGCCTTGATCGAGTGGCACAGATAAGAACAGAACCATTTCACAACAATCTGGTGGTGTCCTGGAGTCCATTCAAACAAGCTAGCGAAAGCCACTGTCAGATTTTCAGAAATTCTGGCATCGAATTGATGTCATGTGAGTAACATGGAATCAGCCGTGGTGGGAACATTTACATCAAACAGTACACATCAGGGTCTGTCTCTCTCTCTTTTTTGGGGGGGGTGTGGAGGGTGGAGAGAAGAGTTGGTGGTTAACGCTGACCAGACACCAATGAACCTACCGATAAGGCTTCTAACAACGGATCCACATCATAACAGGGCAACGTTTCTTCCTCTCCTTGGGGCAATGACGCAGGTTCCTTGTCTACCACACGTGTGGGAGGAGCCTGGGAGGCTGCAAACAGAACCACAGATAGTAAGACAAAATTTAACACCTGACTAGGAGCAATCCAAGATAACCAAGCAGCAACAGAAATTATTTTATAGGGACCTGAAGATTTAATTTAATCTTACTGTAATTATGATACATTATTTTTATCTTTTAATTTTTATTTTATTTTATTTATGTATTGTATGTTTTATTTTATTTATTTATTTGACAGAGAGATCACAAGTAGGCAGAGAGGCAGGCAGAGAGAGAGGAGGAAGCAGGCTCCCTGCTGAGCAGACAGCCGGATGCGGGGCTCGATCCCAGGACCCAGGGATCATGACCTGAGCTAAGGCAGAGGCTTTAACCCACTGAGCCACCTAGGCGCCCCAATCTTTTCAGTTCTTTAGTCCTTCATCCTCAATGGAAGAATTAAGGCCAAGCTCTTAGGACTATACTAAAGTCAATACTGAAATATTACTTGATATCTAGGATATAGTAATAAACATATGTTTGATCTCTGGCCTCTTTTTCCTGGCACAGAGCTCTTAAAACTCTTGGAATCTCTGAAGTGCTAAGTGTCTCTTGCTAATAAGAGGCTAAGGAGATGACTGGGGCTCCTGGGTAGCCTCTGGAGGGGGACAGGCGGGGTGCCAGAGGAATGAACAGTGGTCAGAGAGTTGGAACTTTCGACCCTACCCTCAGACCTCTGGGAAGGCAAGCAGGGCTGAGGCTGAATTAATCATAATGGCCAATGATTTAATCAATCGTGCCTCTACATGAGGCCTCCGTGTAAGAACCCCTACCTGAAGGGGCTTGGAGAGCTTCCAGATTGGGGAGTATGTGGAGATGCTGGGAGGGAAAGCTGGAGCCAGACTGGAAGCTTTATGCTCCTTCTCTCACACCTTGCCCTATGCATTTCTTATATCTGGCTGTTGCTGAATCCAATCTTTTTAATAATAAACAAATAATTTATGGGGCGCCTATGTGGCTCAGTGGGTTAAGCCTCTGCCTTCGGTTCAGGTCATGATCTCAGGGTCCTGGGATCAAGTCCCGCATCAGGCTCTCTGCTCAGAGAGCAGCCTGCTTCCTCCTCTCTCTCTGCCTGCCTCTCTGCCTACTTGTGATCTCTGCCAAATAAATAAATAAAATCTTAAAAAAAAATTAATTCCATAAGTATACAGTTTTCCTGAGTTCCGTGAGCTGTTCTAGCAAATGACTGAACCTGAGAAGGGGGTCATGGGAACCCTCAGTTTGTAGCCAAATCAGACAGAAGCCATGGATGTTCTGGGGACCTACTAACTTGCGAATGGTGTCTGAAGTGGGGGGCAGTCTTAGGGCACTGAGCCCTTAACCTAATTTAGTTAAGGTCTGTGCAAACTCTGGTTAGTGTCAGAATTGGATTAAATCACAGGACGCCCAGCTGGTGTCTGCCGAGACTTAGAGAATTGTCTTGGTATGGAAAAATCCTAGCCATCTATGTCAGAAGTGTTCCAGAAGTGTTGGTGTGAATAGTAGCAGAGGAAAACAAATTTGTTCGTAGAAAGGAAGAAAGATGAAAAGTGGAAAAAAGAATAACAAGGTTGTTTGTTTGTTTTCTTTCGACACCCAAAAGAGATCACACAATAGGCAGGTTGTAGAAAAGAAAAATCAAAATCCGAATTCTTCGGATATAAAGCTCAGGTCTCAAGACCCACTGAGGCATTTACTACATGAACACTAGAGTGCCTCCTCCTGAGTTCAAGGATCCAAGAATCATCTGCCCACTTGCGTTGTGTATTTTGTGGGGGATACTAACTGCACGAAAATGGCAATGTGATCAGAAAAAAAACAACTCTCTGCATTCAGTGTTCAGTGAGGATTCTAAATGTACTTTTACCATCAACTCCCCGTTTTTTTTACTTCTCACTTGATAACTCTGGTTAGAAGAATCATTTTTATTCTTCCAACTCTTACTTAAATTATGTATTTATTCATTGCTTCAGTTATTTTTTGAGATTTTTATCAACTTAACAACAGGGTATTTTGTTCCTCAACTCATTTTGCATTTATAGAATTAATTTTTTAAGATTTTATTTTTTATTTTTTTGATGGAGTGAGAGAGAGAGAGAGCGCGTGCACAAGCAGGGGGAGTGGGAGAAGCGGGCTGCTCAGCAGGGAGCCCTATTTATAGAATTCTTAGAGAGGAGTTCCTTTCAGTAGTTTCGTTTTTAAGCAAAGACATTTGCATAGCAGACTGACTCGCTGAATTAAAATATGGGTGTGGTATAAAAGCTTCATGAATATACTCATGCAATTTTTAAAGATTTTATTTATTTACCAGAGAGAGAGAGAACAAGCAGGGGGAGCAGCAGAGGGAGAGTGAGAAGCAGACCCCTGGCTGAGCAGGGAGCCCAATGCGGGGCTCGATTCCAGGACCCAGAGATCATGACCTGAAACAAAGGTAGATGCTTAACTGACTGAACCACCCAGGCGCCCCTATACTCAGGCAGTTTTATTTGTAGCTCTTGTTTAACAGTGGAGAAATAGGACCTGAGGAAGCACAAATACTTAGCATATTGATACACAGTAAGGCAACCAGGTTTTATTTCCACCTTCTGCTATCACCTTTAGCGATACTGCCTTTACAAGACAGGTTTAGAAAAAAAAAAAAAAAAACAAACAAACAAGGAAATAAAATTCTTCTTCTTCTCTGATAGTAATTTCTGAGACTATGAAAGTTTTTAATGACTTTCTGACAAACATATTCATAGCAACATGTTTTATTCTAGGCCAGGCATGCATTTTATAGGAATTACTTCATTTGATCCTCGAAACACCCATGAGGTAGGTACTGTTATTATCCCCACCTTACAGATGGGGAAAGTGAAAGGTTAAGAAGTGATCCACTAACCCGTTAATAAGCGGAGTCCTGGCAATCTGACTCCACAGACCTCATTCTTAAACCCTGTGCTATCCTGCGTTGTTTTTTTCTGTTATTTCATTCAAAACGATTTTCTATACTCTCACCCCCATGTAAGGATGAGGAAAAGACATTTATCTAAAACTACTTCTCTTCGCTAGAATATAAGCTCCAGGAGAGCCAGGGCTTTGCTTTATATATATTGCTAAGTCTCCAACTTCAACAACTGTGCCTAGTTCAGAGCATGCCTTTAATAAATACGTTTTGAATGAACAGATGAGGGGAAAGTTCTGGCTTTCCTAAGAGAATATGTTCAGAGTGATGAGCAAACATGATAGAGGACCAATTAGTTTAAGAATTCCCACGGTCTTGGTCGCCGGGGTGGCTCAGTTGGTTAAGCATCTGCTTTCCGCTCAGGTCATGATCCCAGGGTCCTGGGATTGCTCAACAGCGAGCTGGCCTCTCCCTCTCCCTCTATGATCTCTCTCGCTTTCACTCTCTCAAATAAGTAAATAAAATCTTTAAAAAAAAAAAAGAATTCCCATGGTTTTGCATAAGCAAGCAAGCGTAAGCTAGTTACCTTTCTCTCTTTTATATTTTTCTATCTTTCTCACAAGGTTAGGCACAACTCTTCCGCAGAGATCCTCCAGTAACTTCAGATTATCTTCATCTATTTGACCTTGTCTCTCCAGATATGCCAGGAAACTTAGCGAGGTCTGCAAGAGAATCAATGGAGTCACATTTACTTGCCTTCTGATGATGCATTCATTCCGTAACGATTACCTGCATGGCCTCTAGTCACCAGATTTTGCAATGATGAATAAGGAATGGTGCTTGTCCCTGAGGAGTTCAATAGTATGGGGGGAAGAGGTATGACCAATCAAATTATCTATATTAATAACAAATACCAAATATACATAATTCACTACATACCAGGCAGTGCTTGCTTGACCTCAAAAACAAGCCGGTAAGGCTAGATACTATATAACCCCTAGTTAATTTAATTTATTGAAAATAATTTAAAATATTTTAAAATATTTGAATTTAAAAATATTTAAATTCAATTAATTAACATATAATGTATTATTTGTTTCAGGGTATAAATCCCCATTTTAAAGATGAGATAACTGGGGTTCAACAACTTGTGCAATAAGTGGCAGAGCTGGTATTTGAACCCCGGCAGTCTGATGTCAAAGTCTCTCTTATTGGTCCTTGGGCTACATGGCCTCTGACTCACATCTGTAAATGATACACTTAGATTAGGGTGGCAACAAAACAGAGGCACCAAAGAAACTAAGGGCAAATAGTCAGTATTTTTTTTTAAGATTTTATTTATTTGACAAACAGAGATCACAAGTAGGCAGAGAGGCAGGCAGAGAGAGAGAAGGGGAAGCAGGCTCCCTGCCGAGAAGAGAGCCCGATGCAGGGCTCGATCCCAGGACCCTGGGATCATGACCTGAGCCGAAGGCAGAGGTTTTAACCCACTGAGTCACCCAGGCGCCCCAAATAGTCAGTATTTTAAAAGAAAAAAAAAATCTCTTAAATGCTGCTGGAAAAAAAGGACAAATTGGCTAGTATTATTTTATTTTTATTTATTTTTTGGCTAGTATTGTTTTATTTTATTTTTTTTTAAGATTTTATTTATTTATTTGACAGAAAGAGATCACAAGTAGACAGAGAGGCAGGCAGAGAGGGTGGGGGGAAGCAGGCTCTCTGCTGAGCAGAGAGTCTGATGCGGGAACTCGATCCCAGGACCCTGAGATCATGACCCGAGCCGAATGCAGCGGCTTAACCCACCGAGCCACCCAGGCGCCCCTGGCTAGTATTATTTTAATATTGAATTACATTCAATATTGGGGGTGGAAAACTCCACCACAATCTTTTGGGGTGGAAAGCACCACAATCTTTTCAAAGAATAGGGCTTCTCAGCATATTAAGCTGGTTATGAAAACATATATACAAATGAACTCACATTAGAGCCCACAGAAAGGAGTAAGTCATCAAAAGTAAACCTCTGAACACCATCTCACTGTGTCCATGAACATCAACAGGGTGGGAACTGGGAAGAGGTCTCCAGACATATGGAGCCGTTGAACGGCTGAAAAGGGGCTGTGTTAAGGAGCATTGAGAAGGAGGCTTGAGTACAAACCCCGAGTAAGAGCGAGGTCATGACTGGAACAAGGGGCTGGTATGGGCCCAGGCAAACACGGACAGACACACAGTATGTGAGGAGTTTGGCATGTGCCCCATGCATCAAGGAGTAGCTGTAGTAGTTTTTAAGAATAGTAATATGAACACATTTGTTTTTGAGTAGAAGTCTTGAAACAAACTGGGGGAAGAAGAGGATTAGAGAGAAAATATTGGCAGTAAGATTAAACACTCTGGCAAAGAGGGGATCCAGACCTGGTCCGAAGCCAGTGTGCTGGGAAACACAGAGGCAGCACTGGGTTTGAGAAACATTTCTGAAATAGAACTCGGTGAGTCGTGGAACTCAGTCTGAGGTGGGTGATGAAATGAAGGAAGAATCGAAAATACCACTCATTTATTCACAGTTCATATAGGCACAAAGCAGGCTTTGCACAAGCCGTGCATGGGAGGGGATTCTTGAAGGATGACTAGGTCTTCGTTGCCAACACGGAAAAGGACATTCCTTTGCCATGCTGGCAAAGGAAAAGAAAAGACAAAATAAACCACATGCGGAAATGAATGTGAAACTAAAATCCTGGTTACGAGGAGTTTTGTGTTGCCTTCAGCAAGAGGTTTCTCTGTTAGGAAGGAAGCTAATGTCATATTGAAGTGTCCTGAATCATGACCCAGAGTTGAGTTAGGGGAGAAAGAGTATATACAAACTATCCTTTCAAGAAGTTTGGCAGTAGAGGGAACCAGGGAGACTGAGCAGTAACATAGGATGAGGAAGGGCTCAAGAGAGATTATAAATTTTTTTCAAAGATTTTTATTTTTAAGTAGTCTCTACACCCAATGTGGGGCTTGAACTTACAACCCCAAGAGCAAGAGTCACACGCCCTACCAAAAGAGCCAGCCAGGCGCCCCTGACAGATTATAATTTAAGAAATTCCAGGGGCGCCTGGGTGGCTGAGTGGGTTAAGTCTCTGCCTTCAGCTCAGGTCGTGATCTCAGGGTCCTGGGATCAAGCCCTGCTTTGGGCTCTCTGCTCAGCAGGGAGCCTGCTTCCCCCTCTCTCTCTGCCTGCCTGTCTGTCTACTTGTGATCTCTGTCAAATAAATAAATAAAATCTTAAAAAAAAAAAAAATTCCAGAGACAAGGAGGAGAGCCAAAAAGGCAAAGAAGAGTATGTGTCCTCCCTTGCAGCCCTAGCACTACCCATTGCTTGGCCGGGAGTCAAGCAGAAGACAGAAGGGGGTACAGAAAGATTCCTCCAGAACAGATCAGCTGGGCAAAAGGATCAGAGGGAAACCACCACACAAAGTTCTGCGATAGGTCACATGCAAAGGAGCTCTTACTGAACCTTAAAACAGAAACCCTATTTTTGACAGCATCCTACCAGGAGGAAGAAAAGGGACTAAGACAGGATTCTAGAAGCAATGATGGGAGTTCTTTATACTGTGAAGACTGTTTATGAGATGTTTGGTCAATGACACCTTCTACACACACACACACACACACACACAGTCGAAAAGGATTTTGTATTTTAAGAACACCACTCCAGTGAATACTAGCAGGAAGTGCCTGAAAGCTCTTGTTCTGCTGCTTTGCTAAGCTCGTAGATTTGGGTGTGGTTTCCTTTACATCCAACGTTCATTTGATTACTACCCAGAGAACAGATTTCCAGCATGTTCTGGAACAGGTGAAGGCAGCCAGATGCCTATAAACTTGTAGGAAAGTTATCAAAAGGAATCCTAGAACGCCCTACAAAGGTCATTTTTCTAACTTGAGAGAGACGGTGTGAATTTAGAACCCTTCCTTTTTGACTGAGGCAAGTTCAGGCCCTCCCCACCCAGCTGCTAAGCAATTGATTTCCGGGACAAAATCTTTTGCAATCCCAGCAGCAGATAACACAGCCTTCTTAAGCCCTGGTACCAAAACTCCTCAGCGTTGCTTAGAGATTGTCCTTTCTGCACTTCAGGAACACCCAATAGAGATCAGCCTGGATTTTCTAAGGTATATAACTCAGCCACAGTTCTCACATGAAGAAATAGATCTCCTCTGGAATAAAGCTGAGATCATTTGGAGCTCAAGCAGGGTACTTTTCCTGAATCTGACGGGCTATTCTCACAGTTCTATGCCACAGGGAAATACAGTGATTGTTCCTTTTACTGCTGTGCTGAACGAGAAAAGCAAAAATCGTTTGGCTACGTGAGCACAGGCCTTCATTGACAAAAGCTAATATAGCAGGGGGCAAAACGTCAGAATGCTTCTGGCCACAAACCACAGATGCCAGCAAGCTAAGGTCTAAGACCCTTGGAGAAAGTGCAGGAAGAAATACACTCCCCCCGTTTTTCCTAGTGCAAAATCATGGCTTGGTGTGGAGCACACCAGGGACCCCTGCCTATCTCTTCATCCCCCCACCCCCGCCCCCACCTGGCATGGGGAGTAAGAACTTCTGTTTATGACACACGGAGAGGTTTAACTAGAGGGAGTGGTTCCGTTTATTTTTATAAACCCAGAGACTGGGGAAATTGTGAAAGACTGCTCTATTATCAGAATAAGTCAGAGAGCTTTTCAAACTATAGGAAATCTAATGCTGGGACATCTGGCCTCTGAATCCAGCTGCCGGTTTACAGGAAATGCATAAGACCGAGGAGCGAGCTGAACTGTACCAAGCACATGCCATCAGCAAAACTCAGACTGGGGGAAATCCTACCCACCAGTTGTCCTGGGCTTCTTCAACAGATCAATGTTAAGACAAAGAAAGAAAGGGGTTGGAGGGAGAAGAGTTAAACCCGTAGATTAAAAAACGCTCAAAAAAACTGTCCAAGACTAAACTTGACATCTAGGGTTGCACAAGTAAATGATAAAACCATAAAGAAACATCAGAACGTTGCTACTATAAAAGCCAGGATAGTGGTTCTTCTAGCGGATGGGAAGGGGTTGTGACTGGAATGGGGTAACTGGGGGGGTTTCTAGACTGACTGGCAAAATTCAAATTCTTGACTTGGGTGATGATTTCTAAGGGATGCGACTTATAATAATTCATTAATCTGTATGTTTTATGTCATTTTTTATACTAGTGTCTTGTTGGGTTTTTCTTAAAGAACAAAAAGATAAAAGGAAAAGGGAAAAAGTGTAAAAACAAAAACAGAAATATACCAGACCTCTCAGGGGCTATCTAGGGGGGAAAATCAGTAGATTCTGACAAATGGTAAGTAAGAATAAGAATGTTCGCCATGGATCTCTGCACATCCCATCAAGGTGGCTTAGTTCATCCTGCTAATCTCTCCAGTTAGTCATCGTAAAAGCATATAAACAGAAAGGGTTCAGGCCATTTTCTCAGAAAGAGAAAAGAAGACTGTATCATCCCATTCATTTATGCTTTCCATGATTTTGTAACAGATTCTACAAGGTTCTGGACCCATAATGATGAGTTAAGACTCAGTCCCCAACCCCACAGAACCCACAACCAACCACTGGCGGGAGGGAAAAAAAAAAGGAGCCTCAAGCGATGACTAATCAAAAGACACAGAGGCTAAAAACCCTGAGGGCTCAGAAGAGGCAAAAAGACAGACCTGGAAGACTGTGAGCAAGGTAAGTAAAATGAACCTCCTCAGCTCTACAGGTCGGACACCAGGAAACATATTTAATGAATTACTCACATAGTCCTCATTAGACCTACCCCACATAAAAGAGCTTCCCACTCCTCAGTGATTTTTCTACAAACCGAATTTACTTGTCAATCATATAAGGAGATCTCAGGAGAATGTGATATGGGGGAGGGGGCTATGCAGGCAACGTAGGCTGGTAGGCTTGAGAGGGCGTGGGTGATATTCACATTCCTAAGTTGCGTCGGGGGAGGGGTTTGAGGCTGTTCACTTAGTACTACGTTTCCTAACTTCCGTACACGTTACTTGTTTTTCAGGGTGTTATCAGATGCCACATAACTTAAAACCTAATAAACATAGCCATTGAATAGCACAATTATAAAGTGATGTTATGGGGGAAAATTTGAAAAGTGGCCCCTTTCCCAACTTAACTAACTTGCTTGTTACAAGTTGATATTAGAGTCAAAAGAAAAACATATCAAGTTCTGAGGCCTGGAAGAGAGAACTATTGCTACTTTCTTACTCTTAAATGTGACCCCTATAGCAATATGATTAATAGACAGTAATTATGTTATTATTAAAAATACTATTAGTTCAAAACACCTGTATAGCCCTCTACAAAGCACATCCTCAAACATATGTCTCATTTGATTTTCACAAAAACCCTACACGGGAGATAATGCAAAGTTCCTCAAAAGAACACGCAGGGTCAGGGCACCTGGGTGGCTCAGTCGGTTGGGCAGCTCATGATCAGATCCCGGGGTCCTGGGATCAAGCCCCACACTGGGCTCCCTGCTCAGTAGAGAGCCTGCTTCTCCCTCTTCCTCTGCCTGCTGCTCTGCCTACTTCTGTTCTCTATCTCTCTGTCAAATAAATAAATATATTAATAAAAATCTAAAAAGAAGAAGAACAACAACACACAGGGCCCCTATGTAGATCATCAATGCCCCATTTCCACTCCACCATGATTTCCCACCTCCTCATTTCCACACGTTTCTCTATGGAAAAACACAGTGGGTGCCATCAGCAGTTAACCACTTATTATCTGATGACCAGGTGCCAAATTTTACCCACATCATGTTGTCTAATTCTCCCAACAGTCTCAGAAGGAAAGGATGGGATTGTTGGCAATATGACAAGTGAGAAAACAGAGGCTCAGAAAGCTTCCATCACTCACCTCCCATCAAGGCGTTAGAACCGGGACTAGAATCCAGGCCCCCCCCAGCACCAAAGTCAATGTTCCCAAGCACTGTATGACATCATCTGCAGCAAATAAAATCCCTTCCTGAAAACCCCAGCACATTCCCGACACGGGTTACTGCAGAGCTCCCCAATACCCCACTCTCTATGACCCACTTACCATCTGGATTTTGGGAATCGAGTCCCTCTGAAGGAAGATCATGTTCTTTAAGTTATCTGAGCTGATGCTTTCTGACAGTTCGTAGAGCAGCTTTCTAAGACATACATCCAGAGAGACAAACAAAACCTCAGACTTGCAGAGGACAGTACAGTAAATCATGTGCTTTTTTACAAATATCCTCTCTCACGGGAGTGATCACAGCCCATGAGTAGACAATTTGGAACCCCACTGTATAGATTCAAAACTAAAACTCTGACCTTTAAGTGGCCTGTTACATTAGGTTAACACAATAAGGGGGCACCAGGGTGGCGAAGTCAGATAAGTCTCTGACTCTTGATTTCGGCTCAGGTCATGGTCTCAGGGTCCTGGGATCGAGCCCCGCATCGGGGTCGCTGCTCAGCGGGGAGCCTGCTTCCCCCTCTCTCTCTGCCTGCCTCCCTGCCTACTTGTGATATCTCTCTCTCTCTGAATAAATAAATAGAATCTAAAAAAAAAAAAGATTCTCTGTCTCCCCCTCCCTTTACCCTCCCCCTCCGCCCTTCCCCCCACGCCCATGCAAGCGCATACACGTTCTCTCTCTCTCTCCCCAAAAATAAAATAAGATTAAAAATAAAACAAAATTTTAAAAGATAACACAATAAGCAGTAGAGGCAGGCTCAAGAATCAACTATACTGTGTTACATATCTGAAAGTTGCTGAAGAGTGGGTTTTAAAAGTTCTCATGAAAAAAAATTTGTAACCAAATGTGGTGACAAATGTCAGATTTTCTATGGTGATCATTTCACAATACATACATATATCAAATCATGATGATGTACACCTAAAATTATCATAATGTTATAGGTCAATTATATCTCAATTACAAGTAAAAAATCTTAAAATAAATAAAAGTGTGTTATCTAAGGTCTGACCCATGATAGACCTGATGCCTGTATGTCACCCCATACAGATACAAAATACAAATAAAATACAAAAAATATATAAATACAAAATATCTGTATTTTACCTCTCTGGGTTTCACCCAAAAATGTATGAAAATTTAAAACAGGACATGGCATAAATGATGTCCTTCCCTACCCCAGAGACATATCTTTTTTCATTTTGTTTATCTGGCCACAAGAACTCACGCTTTCCCTCTTCTCGAGTGCCCACAGTGACTCACAGGAAGGGCTGTCTGGGAATGAGGAGGGTAAAAGAAAAAAAGTGAAGGCCCGCCGTGCATAGGCCGGCTTCCTTTGGCAGTGAGAAGCCAACCAGAGAAAGCTGCTTCCAGGCCCAGAGTTGGGCTTTGAAAAGCCCCACTTTGGGGGCACCTGGGTGGCTCAGTCAGTTAAGCATCTGCCTTCAGCTCAGGTCATAATCCCAGGGTCCTCGGATGGAGCCCCCCATCGGGCTCCCTGCTCAGCGGGAAGCTGCCCTCTGCCTCTGCCTCCTGCTCCCATGCTTGCGCGCATGCTCTCTCTGTCAAATAAATAAAATCTTTTTTAAAAAGAAGTGAAAAGCCCCACTTTGAAAACCTCTCATCTCAAGAGTACCTGACCCAGAGAGATCTGGTTTAGAAGCACCGTCACCCAAGGACGGAGATAAGAAAAAGGGCATAATCCCAGCCTCCTTTCAAAGCTCAGTGGCCTGAGTGAACACTACCTAGATGGAAACACCCCCACCCTCCCCATCCCCCAACCCACTGTCTTGATCACAGAGGCCCTCCTCACCTGAACAGAGAGACCCTCCCTCGGGTGGGCAGCAAACTTTCCACTTGCTCCTTGGTTTGGTTGAGGTGGCGCAGCAGCGATTTCTGCTTGATCAGGTAGAGGAGTTCCTCCAGGAAGAAGGAGTCTTCCTCGCTCAGCTGCTCCTCTGCCAACAGATGATCAAAGATGTCTAACGCGGAGCTGGCCTTCTCCAGCTCCTTGTGGGAGATGCAGTCTCGGCAGAGAAACTTCAAGGCCTCCACATCTTGGCTCCCCAGCTTTGAATCAATAGTCAGAAGCTTCCCCCGGAAGTTTGATTGACCATAATCATCCGAAGAGAAACTCAGACTTCGACCTTGAGATGCCATGGCCAGCCTGAAAGAGACAGAGGTGGGGCAGCACATGAGAGAGGAAATATACACGGAACCCCAACTTCCCAGACCTCCTCTGTTCCAGGCATGAGACTTTCCCCAAAGTGCTGAAAAATAAATATTCCTACGAACTCACTTCAAAACCCAATAGCCAAAAAAATGAGCCCAACACTTGCGTGGTGACCCTTCTGGAGGTCTGGAGGGAGGTTTTTTGGGAATCTAATTTACCTTCACTTCTCCCAAATCAAAATGGCCCTGGTGAGAGTGAGTCAAAAGGGAGGATGACAAAGTACAATGTCTCCCGGTGAGAACTCTTCACTCATTCCCACCAAAGGGCAGAAACAGCGCTTCGACTCATGCCTTTCATTTTAGAAATAAAGCAGTCTGGGGGTTTATAATTCAGAAGTGTCCATTAATCTAAAAACAACCATAACGGGACAGGTCCATATAGCACAAAAAGAGAAGCCACAGTCCTAGACCCCAAAAGAAAGGGTGGTTTTAAATAAGAATTGCTCAAATCAATGAAGGAAGTCACAAATGACTAAATTAGTATTTCCACCCGCTCAGTTCATAAAGTTCATATGGTATTTTCTACACTAAATTCCATTCTAATCAGAGGAGCAATGAACTAATAAAATTTTTCACTGTAATATTATTCGTTCTATAAGGCCTCAAGGCATATACTCTCTTTGCAAGACTTGGCTACTTAGAAACAAGAAACCACTTTCCAAAGGAAGGAGAACATAACAAAAAAACAACATCAATTACAAAGAGCAGCTATTTCTAGGTGGTATAAACACAAACACTCTAAATTCTCTTTTTGTCTCCTGAGTTCTCCAGATTTTATGCAATGAACACATTACTTTTATTGCTAGAAAAATTAAACAGAGGAGCGTCTGGCTGGCTCAGTAGGTAGAGCATATGACTCCATCTCAGGGTTGTGAGCCTAAGTCCCATACTGGGCATGCAGCTCACTTAGAGAAAGACGGAGCCGGAGATGGAGAAAGAAAACGGAAAATGGTGGGGGGTTTTTTGTTTGTTTTTTTTTTTTTAAGATTTATTTGGAATCTTTTTTTTTTTAATTTATTTGAAAGAGAGAGAGTGAGAGAGGGAACACAAGCAGGAGGAGTGGGTGAGGGAGAAGCAGGCTTCCCGCTAAGCTGGGAGTGGGAAGTGGGACTCGATCTCAAGACCCCAGGATCATGACCTGAGCAGAAGGCAGACGCTTAATGACTGACTCACCCAGGCCCACGGGAAAAGGTATTTTCAATGTGATCAGCCATGGGGTCTTCCCTTCTAGGAGTAGCCTGTGATACCAGAAACCCAACGAATGGCCTCTCGGAGACGGCTTTTTGAGGGATTCTAAGATATCACACGCTCGCCCTGCAGTTTCCCCCAAATTCCAACCTCCCGTCGGCTAGACTTTGTCTAACTTGAGGTGGCCAGACTTTGTCTGCATTTACGGACTAGCATATTTCCGCCCATAAAAGTCTGTGTTAGAGCTTTCCTGGGGCTTTTTAAACCGTCATTTCCCCCCCGCACAGCTAGTAAATCCAGGCAGCGATCGTGCCATCAGCCACGACAGGTTCTGCAAATGTCTGTGACTAAGGCAAGGACCGAGGCTAGAGTGCAAGACCTCAGCAGGGGAAAGATGCTGATTGCATACCTTCAGCTCCAACTCCCTTGATCCTCTGGAGGTAAATGGTTCCGGGGGAAATTGCCTGAAAATAAAGTTTTTAAAAAATTAGAATCTTCTGCGTAATCCAAGTTCCAGAGAAGTTCTCACTTGCGCGGGAAGGGAACTCAGGACTTGGTGCCTCTGCAAGCGAAAACTGGATGGTCCGGTTCAGCTTTAAAACATACTTCCTGCCTACGTCACAGCTGCCCCGCCCCCTCCCCTCCACCCCCTCCCGGTGTAGACGAACACTGGCAGACAGCGCCTCCTAGAGGCAAGAGCCACGACTTTCCACGATTGAACTGCAAGGGCTCCTCCTGCAAATGAACTTTTTTATTTTTTTAATTTGTTTATTTATTTGACAGAGAGAGAAATCACAAGTAGGCAGAGAGAAAAGGGGAAGCAGGCTCGCCACTGAGCAGAGAGCCCGATGTGGGGCTCGATCCGAGGACCCCGGGATCATGACCCGAGCAGAAGGCAGAGGCCCTTAACCCACTGAGCCACCCAGGCACCCCTGCAAATGAACTTTTGAAAGGCCCCAAGAGTTCTAGGCATTCCCTTGGATCACTGAGGTTGATGAATCAAAGAAGAAAGAAAGAGAGAGAAAGAGAAAGAAAGAAGGAAAGAAGGAAGAGAGAAAGAAAGAAAAAAAGAAAACAAGAAAGAGAAAGAAAGAAAAGGAAGGGAAGAAGGGAAGGAAAAGAAAGAAGGAAGAAAAAAAGAAAGGAGAAAGAGTTTATTTTCCTAACCATCTCCTTCCCCAAATTCACTTAACCTTTAAAAATAAAACCCAAAAAGCTCAGGAAATAGTGGTCAGCCATCTTAACTCCTTCTCAAAAAATTGTATGTGCAAATACAATTTTAAGACAGAGAAAATGGAGGGAGAGCTGCACTATAGGCCCATTTGGAGATATTTGCAAGGAACTCATTAGCAGACAAAACTGATGAAGTCTTTGGCCTCACATGTGCGCACATTCAGTGCAGCAGGAAAGAGACTTTGAGGACACTATTTCTAAGAATAAAAACAAAACCTAATACTTACAGGGCAACTACCATGTATGAAGCACCATTTTTTTCACTTAATCATCCCGAGTCTCTAAGATACATATTATCAGCATGACCCCTCTTGTAAGATGTGAAAACTAAGACACAGAAAGGTTAAGTAATTTGTCCAAGATCACATGGTGAACTAATTGGAAAGCCAAAATTTTAAACCAGCAAATCTAGCTCTAAGTCACTACACTATAATTCAGCAAATTCAAATGCACAGGGCTCTGAGAAGAAGTACAGAATCTTATCTCTAAAAAAAGTGATTTATGATGTTTTATATATGTTTTTATATATATATGTTTTTTATATATGATGATATATGATGTTTTATCAACAAATACATTAAGTCCCATTTTCACATCCTCAGCATCAACCAGAGAACTTCTATGTTTAAGAAAAACAAGCCCTATCACTCAGCCATAACAATGAATGAAATCAGGGGTGCCTGGGTGGCTCAGACAGTTAAGCGTCTGCCGTTGGCTCAGGTCATGATCTCAGGGTTCTGGGATCGAGCCCCACACTGGGCTCCTTGCTCAGCAGGAAGCCTGCTTCTCCCTCTCCCTCTGCTGCTCCCCCTGCTAATGTGCTCTCACTCTGTCAAATAAACAAATAAATAATCTTTAAAAGAAATGAGTGAAATCTTGCCATTTGTGAAAACATGGATGGACCTAGAGGGTATCATGCTAAACGAAATAAATCAGACAGAGAAAGATAAATATCATTTGATTTCACTTATATGTGGAATCTAAAAACAAAACAAATGAACAAACAAAATGGTAACAGACTCATAAATATAGGAAACTGTTGGTGACTAGAGTGCGGATTGGGGGACACCTAAAATAGGTGAAGGGGACTAAGAGACACAAACTTTCAGTTATAAAATAGATAAGTGGGCGCCTGGGTGGCTCAGTGGGTTAAGCCGCTGCCTTCGGCTCAGGTCATGATCTCAGGGTCCTGGGATCGAGTCCCGCATCGGGCTCTCTGCTCAGCGGGAAGCCTGCTTCCTCCTCTCTCTCTCTCTCTGCCTGCCTCTCCGTCTACTTGTGATCTCTCTCTGTCAAATAAATAAATAAAATCTTTAAAAAAAAAAAAATAAAATAAAATAGATAAGTGATGGGAATGTAACGTGTAGTGTAGGAAAACATAGTCAGTAATTTTGTAATCACTCTGTATGGTGACATGGTAACTAGACTTAACATGGGATCATTTCATAATGTACAAAGGTATCAAATCACTATCAGGTACACCTGAAACTAATCGGATATTGTATGTCAATGGACTTCTTTTTTCAAAAAGCCTACAACTTAAAGCATACTATGGGCAGAACATTTTAATGGATTTAATAAACTGGTCAAAAGATACACCTCGTTGGTTCTGGAAAAAGTGTGAAAAACCCAAATGTGGCTGTGAGTGTTGAAGACATGATTGTGTGTATACGACTTCTCTAAAACCCCTACTAACAGGCTTGAGCGTGGATATAGGGAGTTCCACTTATTATTGGAATGTATGCCATTTGGAAATATTCTTTACTATTACTAATAATAAATAAATGGCTCAGAGAAGAAAGGAAGGAAGGAAGGAAAACAAGTCCTAGTGGTGATGGTTGCACAAGCAGGTAAAGGTACTTAATGCTACTGAATCATACACTTAAACCGCGTTTGAACAGTAAATTTTATGTTATGTATATTTTGCCACAATTTTTTATTAAAGATTTTTCGTTATTTATTTGAGAGAGAGAGAGAGTGAGAAAGAGAACATGAGAGGGGAGAAGGTCAGAGGGAGAAGCAGACTCCCCTTGGAGCTGGGAGCCTCATGTGGGACTCGATCCCAAGACTCCGGGATCATGACCTGAGCCGAAGGCAGTTGCTTAACCGACTGAGCCATCCAGGCGCCCACAATTTTTTTTTTTTTTTTTTTTTTGGAAAGACAAAGACACCCAAGCCCTAAGTCTTAGTCTTCTATTCTATTTAATTCCTTGAGGCATTTCAGAAGGTAGTTTGGGAAAACTATCACTCCACACGCTGTCCGTAAAGCCACGTTAGCTTTTTCAACCTTTTTGTAAATTTAATTTTACTTTCTCAGTGTTCCAAGATTCATTGTTTATGCACCACACCCAGTGCTCCATGCAATATGTGCCCTCCTTAATAGCCACCACCAGGCTCACCCAAACCCCCACGCCCCTCCCCTCCAAAACCCCCTTTGTTTCTCAGAGTCCACAGTCTCTCATGCTTCGTCTTGCCCTCTGATTTCTCCCAACTCACTTTTCCTTTCCTTC